TTTATGTACTTTTCAGGTAAGTATATAACCATGTCATGAATGAGAAATTGTTACTGTATAGTACATGTACGATTGCATACACGCATACGTATACATGCAAATCCCAAAATCATATTATTTCAGTTCTACAAACACAGAGTGATAACTCATAAATCAGACACAATCTTCATCATTCTGTTCCATATGTTTGACCTGTAAGTATAGCTCAATGCACTATACACTTTTTTCCCTTTTGCTGTTCTCCATGCATTGGGAATGTTTTTCCGATTGAGAGATGTGTATTTACGGTCTACATTGGTGTTTCGGTGACACACTGCAAGTTCAGATCGTGTTTCATATTGTTTGTCACTAAATGAAATCCGTTTATCATGAAAAATGATCATCACGTTGTTGAAACTTTTAACATAAAATGTTTCTCGTGCAAAGACAAAATCATGTGGACTCTTTTACAACACAGAATGTGTTAGCACTTTGGAGAGGAGTCTTTTGACGACTGCATCTGAAAGAATATGTCTATATGGTTAATGAATTTTATCTTTCCTGCATCTACTCTCAGCATAACACCCCGCGTGATTTCCTTTGTAAAGCTCAATGTTGTTGAGAAGGTTCCGTTTCAGGATCTCAGGCTGCCCATTGCAATTTTGCATACACCATCTGGTTAATCTACATGACAGCAACTAACCTGCAACAGCTTATAGTTATGTATATAATGTATATATATGGTATGCAATTATATATCATGTCATTTAAGAGACTATTGAAGGTATACATTATGTATGTTGACAAGTTTGCATGACAACTCTATAATAGCAACTTCTATTTGCGTATACATCCTGATGCATCAGTCGTAATCACTGACTGAACTTGGCAATCAGTACGAATTATCACATATTTATATAGTTTGATCGGACACAATGTGCACAGATTGAGTCATTGGCTTATATATGATTAATATGTCATGATTATGTTAATTTACATGTCACTTACACCTTGGATTCTCTTATTTAGGAAACACAAACATTCTCCACGCTGCCATGCGTTCAAAGTAACGGCAATCATTAACGCACCTCACTTAGGTTTAGCAACTAAAGGGAAATAACTCTTCACTTATAAATCGTAACACGACAGACATATTTGTTTATAACCATGTTTCTGTCATGTGTTGGTACATTGATGGTGACAACATTTTCATTCATTTCTTCATAAAATTTCACAGTGCCAAATTTTTCGTGTCGCTGGGATACTGGGTCATCTGGTTTTGTAACATAAATATGTCGGAGGACCTTGTGAGAGCTTTGTCCAATAACTGCAACATTGGTATCCTTGGCATTCATACGCCAACCGTGTCTTGCATCTCATTATGTCTATGCCGTCCAGGTTTTTATAACTCCCAACTTCCTCCAAGACAGCAGTTTCAGTACTGTTTTCATATTCCTGTCGGATGGCAGTGGAATGCATTTCATAGAATTCTTTTCGTCCTGCTCCATTGCAAAATCGTGTGTAGTGAATCGGGAGCATTCCACTACAGACCATCCCGTGGTAAATCCTGTAATTCACAAGGTATCTGTTGTTGGGTAGATATGGTGATGAAAACCACACAATGCTATGACATTTGTCTTTGCTATTGTTTATCGAAGTGCAGCGACATGGCCTTTCATGGTCAATTTCTTAACACATACATTTCCATTGCATATCCTTGATTTTGTGTCACTTCACACAGTTTCTCCACAGACGACTATGTAGAAATAAAAATCTTTTGGTCAGTATTTGATTCATCAGCGTGTATGTAAGTATTGAAGTTGAGACATTCCTGCTGTTTTTCCTGACACTTATGTACGTAGAAAATAAGCCAACACTTCAGTCAGTATATTTTTATTGTTAACAGGATGTCCTGCCTTCCGTGATACCATGTCCCTTACTTTCTTCAAATTCTGTTGAATAATGTTTTTCTTGATTTCATCTGCTGATATTTCTAAAACTTGGTGGTCGTTTCCTTTTCTCTGCCATGTTTGATGCTCAATCTTCGGCTAAATTATATGACAGTTTGACGATCAATGCTATTGTCCGAATGTCCACGGTACAATATGTTCCTGTTCCTGACTCTCTGCATACCTTAGTTCCCTGTCTCCCTATCCCTCAGGTTTGATCTCCCTGGCTACCGAGGTGCCTTTTATTATAGTCCACAAACCACCACTGAAGTCCCCCTAAGGACCCTTACCTATCACTAGATATATTACAAGTTTGCAACACTGTGTTCGTGTCAATCTCAGCAAGGTCCCAGTGGGGTACCCTAAGCTGACCATGCATCACCCTAAAGTAAGACAGCATGATATGTCCTACCCATCCCAAATCCCTGAACAATTACCTAAGCATATTTACACTAATCTTACAGGGATCTTTCAAGTTTCAACATGATGTCAGTAATTAATTGTTTCCTTCAGCAATGCACACACACACAGTTTACAGTGACCAGGCCTCGGACTCCCCCCCCCCCCCCCNAGGATCATGGCAGCATCTGAAGGCCCTCATGGTCCATGTAAAAAATATTATGCTTCAACACAAACTGTTGATGAGGATTTAATAGACATTGAAATTGGAGAAGATATGCAACACTATGTGACTCCAGCCCTACCATTTTGTATTGAATTGGATAAAGATGTAAACCATGTATTACAAGAGAGAGAAACATGCAGCTGTGGTGGGAAACAAAACAACACAAAAAGGATAAATTAAACAATAGCAGAAGAAAGGAGCTTTATGAGAGATTTAAGACATCTCTCTGTTACATAAATGTGTTTCATGATGAGAGATACATTGTTAGGAAACTAGCAGCTCTCAGACAACAGAACGTAGTGCATAATCGTAGAGAAATCATGCCGGACTGTATTGTAAAGCTGGTGAGATTTTGGTTTCCAAATCCCGACAATATCCTTTACATGGGTCATATGTGGGGGTAACTGGTGCATCTGTGGCACTGTGTAGACCTGGTTGTGTGGTCAAATTTAAGTTGGAAAAAATATGCATGGATAATAAATAGTATAGATTCTGGACATCGCCGCCAAAATGGTGATAAGGTAGAGTGTTTTGTTTAATCAACATGCGTGGCTAGGGCCGTAGCAACAACACTGCTGTAAACTTCCGGTCTCAACATCCGGTCTGGCAAACGGAAAAATTCAAATTTGACTGACAGGACTACAATTGACACAGAAATATTTTAAAATGGAAAAACAATAAAATTAGAATTTGGTAGAGAAAATGAGTAACATATTCATATTCCTCACAAAATAATTGTTACCATGACATAATGTTTATCTGATATGTTATTGAAAAACAATGAAATTGAAGAAAATCTTTCTCTGAAGTGAAGGCTGCCAACATTTTGTATTTCTAGCCATTTTTCCAAGTTGTCTCCCTTTTATACCCCCTCCTTGGCCTTTAAAGACTAGTTATAAAGTATTAGATCAATCTGTTTGGTCACCATGTGGTGGACGGGGCATATCCGGAGTGGTCATGACATGACAAAACCTACAGAAGTCCTTCTCCATGAAGATCTGGTGGTTCCGGTCCGATCTGTCCTTCACCATCACCTTCCCGTCCCAGGTCCAGGTCTGGACCACTGAGCTAGATGGGTTATTCACCAACTGCCGGCAATGAAACGCAAGTTTATCGCGATGTTTGGTAAGATTCTCATTTACCGACACAGACTTTGTAGTAGGACAATCTCTGAATTTCTTACAGAAATGTACGTTTAGCCTCATATGACCTTAGTCTCATGATAATCTTACGAGGTTTGGACCTTGTTTTCACGAGATTTCCAAAGAGGTGTGTCCGTTCTATATCATCAGCACTAACAGATATGCCAGCTTTGTCGATGACATTCAGGATCAGAGCAGTAGAATTATCATGGTAATCGAGGATCCCAGAAATTCTAACCAAAGGCCTACGACTGTATTGTTCCAAACCTTCCAGTTTCAGTCGTAGGTCTTGGTTCTCTAGCTCTACGGCGTCTAGTTCGGCCCTTAGGGGTGCCATTTCCTTTTGTATCAAACTCGAAATTTCTCCTACAAGCATGTCTATGACGGCCACAGATATATCTTTTATATTATCTGGTGAGAGATTTACACTGTAAGCTTGAGGACTAGGGGCATGGCCCGGGGGTAGCCAGCAGTCTGAGGTAGTAGTTGCCAGGAAGAACGTTGCCGTGATGAGCTGAGGGCGTTGACGTACCCATCGGGACGTAAAGGCCAGGGTGCAGAGGGTAATTTGTGGGAGGGCTTTCATCGGTAAGTGATCCATGTCAGTCTTTTTGACTTTCGGGAAGAATTGGAGACAAAGAAGATGTGTTAAAAAATGTTTATTGGAAGTGGAAGCAGAATCCTTGGTTAATAGTATGAACACAGCATGTGCATGTACAATTTCACAAACAGTTTCTGTCAGCTGACGGAGCGCGCACAGAAAATGTAAACAAACAGGTCTATACAGGTAAGACACATTGTCGTGGTCAACAGGCGTGACAAATAAATATTTACACTCTATATCTAAAGATAGAATAAATTAAGTAAGATGAAGTCTGAGGTAAAACACTCCACATTCACGACAGTTAAACGTTTTCAGAAATGTTGTGTTATTTATAAACTAAAAGGAATGCGGTTGGCTCCGTTCGTAAGCTAATTTTAGAAATGATGTGTGCCTTTAAATGCCACAGATGGGACATGATGACATCACCTCCTGGATTAGTGCGCAGGCAAAAACATAATTCCTTAATACATGTAAATGTAACACAGTTTGAAAACAACTTACTTTTCGTCCAATATAATTTTTATACTTGTTATAATAAATTAATTTCAAAAATATATATCGAACACTATAGTTCAGAGTCATCATTGCAGTACATATTTGTAATATTCATACGCATTGTGATAAGTCCATTTGCTTGTGCATGTAAGCAGTTTATCGGACATTACGTAATAACCTATATAAATCAGCCGTACTTGGGGATTTTCATCGAAAGCATATATAAAGGTATCTCTCGGCGCAGATATAATTTGTTATACAAAGTGTATTGACTGTCAACTCATCTTAGACCACACATACACTGTAAGTATGGGGCAATACTTTATCTGTATTTTACTTGATTCGTTTACATATCAATTATACCAAGTCATATTGATGTATTTCTTTTTGCTCCTTCTATTTTATAGTGTTTTGTATGACGTGTGATAAAAGGATTAACTTTGTAATTTGTTTGCTCTCACGTAAATTGACATAAACAAAATATAAAGTCAATCCTGATATTTGCAGTTTTTTTATGTCGTCACAAAATGTTTTATTTCATTTCACTTCAATTTTTTAAGGAATAACATTTCCGCAAATATCTATTTCGACGAACGGTAAAAACACAATTTTTAAACAACCTTCATTGTCTTAAATTTAATGGAAACAGACCAAAGGGCATATTTCTATTTTTCACATATTTTGTATCCTAAACAGTGTTTGTAATTTAAAATGAGATTTCTGGAAACACATTGTCCAAACAAAACGATTAACTAATACCTTAAAATCGGAAATTTAACGATTTTTGGAATTCGCAAACCTCGACGATTGATAATATTGAACAACACCTGTATCATGTGTCGTGTTACCTAATAGTCTCTTACTGAGTGATAAACAGTCTCTGAAAATAGAACATTGTTGGGGATTCATTACCGGCTATATAGGCTTGCACTCCGTCCGTCCTTACGTCATTCCGCCCGTCCTTCATTGTTTGTCCGGGGCATATCTTCTATACTATTTCACATGGAGTAACCATATTTGGTGTACAAGGCCAACTTGGGATGGTTGAATGCAGAGTGTACGAATTATGTCACTTTTTGTCCGGTGCATATCTTCTGTACTATTTCACTTGATGTAACAAGAGTTTGTGTACAAGGACATCTTGGGATAACGGAGTGTAAAGTGCAATAATTAGGTCACTATGACCTTTGACTTGACCTTTGACCTTTTCTTTTGATAATGTACGTTCGGGGCATATTCTCTGTACTATTTCACCTGGAGTAACCAGATTCGGTGTACAAGGACATCTTGGTATGGTGGAATGCAGAGTGAACGAATTAGGTCACTGTTTGTCCGGGGCATATCCTCTGTACTATTTCACCTGGAGTATCCAGATTTGGTGTACAAGGACATCTTAGGATGGCGGAGAACAGATTTCAAGAATGAGGTCACTGTGACGTATGCCTTGAACTTTGACCTTTACTTTTGAAACAGTTTGCCTGGGGCATATCTTCTACACTATTTTTTACTTGGAATGACTAGATCTTGTGTACATCTTGGGATGGCGGAGTGCAAGATATTGATCATTTTGACCTCACTGTGACCTATGCTTTAACCTTTGACCTTACCTTTTGAAAACGTTGTTCGGAGCATATCCTAAATACTATTTAACCGGGTGTAACCAGATTTGGTGGAAATATTTAAAACAATTTTCTTCACTCTGCTTTTTCTTTTGATTTCCAAAACTAAGCTTTCAGTATCTATGCGCAATTAAAACTTTATATAGTTTGATACCAAGCGAACGAACAAGATGACCGCAAAGCAGCCACCTTGAATTCTGACTGTTCAATTTTGTTATCACTGTTACTGGAGAAGTACCGGAAACTTATTTCTCATATTTCATAGGTAGGTTCCCATTTGTCCGTACCTGTGAATGTTGGATTACGAGACTGAATCAATGAACAAAATGGCCGAACGCAACAGTCTTGGATTTTTGCATTTCAAGAAGTCTATGACATATAGTTCTCCGATTTTATTGATACGTTTTTGTTGGTCTTACGTTGTGTTTGGTTTGCTTTGGGACTGATCGGATAAACAAAATGGCCGTCTTGCAACAATCTACGATTTTAACAGTTGAAGATAACAGAATTCAAGTTTCTAAGAACAGGAACGATTTTCCTAAAATTTCAATTGTATGTTTCCTTGATCCTTAGATGTACATGCGTAATTTTCATGTTTCAGTTTGAGGCTAATCGTCAAACAAAATGGACGCCAGCATCGACTGTAATCGTGTGGAATATGCGAGCATTAATCAACCCACCTCCACTGACCCGCCAAAAGAGAAGAACAATTCTGAGGTAATAAACAGCAATCAAGCAACATCCTTTGACCCGTTAGAAGGGAAAATGAAGCCTGATGTTAGGAACAGCAATCAAGCCCCCTCAACTGACCTGTCAGAAGGACGTGGTCCGTCTGATGTCATGAACAGCAATCAAGCCACCTCCACTGCCCCGCCAAAAGAGAAGAATCATTCTGAGGTAATAAACAGCAATCAAGCAACATCCTTTGAGCCGTTAGAAGGGAAACTGAAGCCTGATGTTAGGAACAGCAATCAAGCCCCCTCAACTGAACTGTCAGAAGGACGTAGTCCGTCTGATGTCATGAACAGCAATCAAGCCACCTCCACTGCCCCGCCAAAAGAGAAGAATAATTCTGAGGTAATAAACAGCAATCAAGCAACATCCTTTGAGCCGTTAGAAGGGAAACTGAAGCCTGATGTTAGGAACAGCAATCAAGCCCCCTCAACTGAACTGTCAGAAGGACGTAGTCCGTCTGATGTCATGAACAGCAATCAAGCCACCTCCACTGCCCCGCCAAAAGAGAAGAATCATTCTGAGGTAATAAACAGCAATCAAGCAACATCCTTTGAGCCGTTAGAAGGGAAACTGAAGCCTGATGTTAGGAACAGCAATCAAGCCCCCTCAACTGAACTGTCAGAAGGACGTAGTCCGTCTGATGTCATGAACAGCAATCAAGCCACCTCCACTGACCCGCCAAAAGAGAAGAACAATTCTGAGGTAATAAACAGCAATCAAGCAACATCCTTTGAGCCGTTAGAAGGGAAACTGAAGCCTGATGTTAGGAACAGCAATCAAGCCCCCTCAACTGAACTGTCAGAAGGACGTAGTCCGTCTGATGTCATGAACAGCAATCAAGCCACCTCCACTGCCCCGCCAGAAGGTAGTGGTCTGGTTGATGTTATGAAAAGTAATCAAGCCACTTCAACTGACCTGTCAGAAGGAAACAGTCAGTCTGATGTCATGAACAGCAATCAAGCCCCCTCAACTGACCCGTCAGAAGGAAACAGTCAGTCTGATGTCATGAACAGCAACCAAACCCCCTCAACTGACACGCTAGAAGGAAGGAGTCAACCTGATGGTATGAACATCAATCAAGCCACCTTCACTGACCCACTAGAGGGAAACAGTCAGCCTGATATTATGAACAGGAATCAAGCCACCTCCTTTGACCCGTTAGAAGGAAAAAGACAGTCTGATGTTATGAACAGTAATCAAGCCCCCTCAACTGAGCCGTCAGAAGGATACAGTCAGTATGATGTCATGAACAGCAAACTAGCCCCCTCAATTTACACGCTAGAAGGAAACAGTTAGTCCTATGTCATGAACATCAATCTAGCCCCCTCACTTGCCCCGCTAGAAGGAAACAGTCAGGCCTATGTCATGAACATCAATCTAGCCCCCTCAATTTACACGCTAGAAGGAAACAGTTAGTCCTATGTCATGAACATCAATCTAGCCCCCTCAATTGTCCCGTCTGAAGGAAACAGCCAGCCTGATGTTATGAAAAGCAATCAAGCCCCCCCAACTGACCCGTCAGAATTAAACAGTCCGTCTGATGTCATGAACTCCAACCAAGCCACCTTCCCTGACCCGCTAGAAGGAAACAGTTAGCCTAATGCTATGATCAGGAATCAAGCTATTTCCTTTGACCCGAGAGAGGGAAACAGTCAGCCTTATGTTATGAACAGCAATCAAGGCCCCTCAATTGACCCGTCAGAAGGAAACAGTCAGCCTGATGTTATGAACATCAATCAAGCCCCATCAACTGACCTGCTTGAAGGAAACAGTCAGTCCTATGTCATGAACAGCAATCTAGCCCCCTCAATTGACCCGTCTGAAGGAAACAGTCAGTCTGATGTTATGAACAGCAATCAAGCCCCCTCAACTGACCCGTCAGAATTAAACAGACAGTCTGATGTCATGATAAGCAACCAAGCCACCTTCACTGACCCGCTAAAAGGAAACCGTCAGCCTGATGTTATGAAAAGCAATCAAGCCCCCTCAACTGACCCGTCAAAAGAAAACAGTCGGTCTGATGTCATGAACAGCAACCAAGCCCCCTCAACTGACCCGTTAGAAGGAAACTGTCAGTCTGATGTCATGAACTGCAACCAAGCCACCTTCACTGACCCGCTAGAAGGAAACAGTCAGTCTTATGTCGTGAACTGCAACCAAGCCACCTTCACTGACCCGCTAGAAGGAAACTGTCAGTCTGATGTCATGACCTGCAACCAAGCCACCTTCCCTGACCCGCTAGAAGGAACCAGTCAGTCTTATGTCGTGAACTGCAACCAAGCCACCTTCCCTGACCCGCTAGAAGGAAACTGTCAGTCTGATGTTATGAACAGCAATCAAGCCCCCTAAACTGACCCGTCAGAATTAACCAGTCAGTCTGATGTCATGGACTGCAACCAAGCCACCTTCCCTGACCCGCTAGAAGGAAACAGCCAGCCTGATGTTATGAAAAGCAATCAAGCCCCCTCAACTGACCCGTCAGAATTAAACAGTCCGTCTGATGTCATGAACAGTAATCGAGCCACCTTCACTGACCCGCTAAAAGGAAACCGTCAGCCTGATGTTATGAAAAGCAATCAAGCCCCCTCAACTGTCCTGTCAAAAGGAAACAGTCGGTCTGATGTCATGAACAGCAATCAAGCCCCCTCAACTGACCCGTCAGAAGGAAACAGTCAGTCTGATGTCATGATCAGCAATCAAGCCCCCTCAACTGACCTGTCAGAAGGACGTAGTCAGTCTGATGTTAGGAACAGCAATCAAGCCCCCTCAACTGACCTGCTTGAAGGAAACGGTCAGTCTTATGTCATGAACAGCCATCTAACCCCCTCAATTGACCCGTCTGAAGGAAACAGTCGGTCTGATGTTATGAACAGCAATCAAGAATTAAACAGTCAGTCTGATGTCATGATAAGCAACCAAGCCACCTTCACTGACCCGCTAGAAGGAAACTGTCAGTCTGATGTTATGAACAGTAATCAAGCCCCCTCAACTGACCCGTCAGAACGAAACAGTCAGTCTGATTGTCAGAAGGACGTAGTCAGTCTGATGTTAGGAACAGCAATCAAGCCCCCTCAACTGACCGGTCTGAAGGAAAAAATCAGTCTGATGTCATGAACAGCAATCAAGCCCCATCAACTGACCCGTCAGAAGGAAACAGTCAGTCTGGTGTCATGAACAGCAATCAAGCCCCCTCCACTGCCCCGCCAAAAGAGAAGAATCATTCTGAGGTAAAAAACAAGCCGTCAGAAGGATACAGTCAGTATGATGTCATGAACAGCAATCATGCTACTTCCACTAACCCGCTAGAAGGAAACAGCCAGCCTGATGTTATGAACAGGAATCAAGCCCCCTCAACTGACCCGTCTGAAGGAAACAATCAGTCTGATGTCATGAACAGCAATCAAGCCACCTTCACTGACCCGCTAGAAGGAAACAGTCAGTCTTATGTCGTGAACTGTAACCAAGCCACCTTCACTGACCCGCTAGAAGGAATCAGTCAGTCTTATGTCGTGAACTGCAACCAAGCCACCTTCACTGACCCGCTAGAAGGAAACAGTCAGCCTGATGTTATGAACATCAATCAAGCCCCCTCAACTGACCTGCTTGAAGGAAACAGTCAGTCTTATGTCATGAACAGCCATCTAACCCCCTCAATTGACCCGTCTGAAGGAAACAGTCAGTCTGATGTTATGAACAGCAATCAAGCCCCCTCAACTGACCCGTCAGAATTAAACAGACAGTCTGATGTCATGATAAGCAACCAAGCCACCTTCACTGACCCGCTAAAAGGAAACAGTCAGTCTGATGTCATGAACTGCAACCAAGCCACCTTCACTGACCCGCTAGAAGGAAACAGTCAGTCTGATGTCATGAACTGCAACCAAGCAACCTTCACTGACCCGCTAGAAGGAAACTGTCAGTCTGATGTTATTAACAGTAATCAAGCCCCCTCAACTGACCTGCTTGAAGGAAACAGTCAGTCTTATGTCATGAACTCTAGCCCCCTCAATTGACACGCTAGAAGGAAACAGTCCGCCTGATGTTATGAAAAAAAATCACGCCCCCTCAACTGTCCTGTCAAAAGTAAACAGTCGGTCTGATGTAGTCCGTCTAATGATATGAACATTAATCACCGCCTCTCAACTGACCCGTCAGAATCAAACAGTCCGTCTGATGATAAGCCATTTCCTTTGACCCGATAGAAGGAAACAGTCAGTCTGATGTCATGAACAGCAATCAAGCCACCTTCACTGACCCGCTAGAAGGAAACAGTCAGCCTGATGTTATGAAAAACAATCAAGCCCCCTCAACTGTCCTGTCAAAAGGAAACAGTCGGTCTGATGTCATGAACAGCAATCAAGCCCCCTCAATTGACCCGCTAGAAGGAAACAGTCAGTCTGATGTCATGAACAGCAACCAAGCCACCTTCACTGACCCGCTAGAAGGAAACAGTCAGTCTGATTTCATGAACTGCAACCAAGCAACCTTCACTGACCCGTCAGAAGGAAACAGTCAGTCTGATGTCATGAACAGCAATCAAGCCCCCTCAACTGACCCGTCAGAAGGAAACAGTCAGTCTGATGTCATGAACTGCAATCAAGCCACCTTCACTGACCCGCTAGAAGGAAACTGTCAGTCTGATGTTATCAACAGTAATCAAGCCCCCTCAACTGACCCGTCAGAAGGAAACAGTCAGTCTAGTGTCATGAACAGCAATCAAGCCACCACCTTTGACCCGCTAGAAGGAAACAGTCAGTCTGGTGTCATGAACAGCAATCAAGCCACCTCAATTGACCCGCTAGAAGGAAACAGCCAGTCTGATGTCATGAACAGCAATCAAGCCACCACCTTTGACCCGCTAGAAGGAAACAGTCAGTCTGATGTCATGAACAGCAATCAAGCCACCTTCACTGACCCGTCAGAAGGAAACAGTCAGTCTGGTGTCATAAACAGCAATCAAGCCACCTCCACTGACCCGCTAGAAGGAAACAGTCAGTCTGATGTCATGAACAGCAATCAAGCCACCTCAATTGACCCGCTAGAAGGAAACAGCCAGTCTGATGTCATGAACAGCAATCAAGCCCCCTCAATTGACCCGCTAGAAGGAAACAGTCATTCTGATGTTATGAACAGCAATCAAGCCACCTTCACTGACCCGTCAGAAGGAAACAGTCAGTCTGGTGTCATAAACAGCAATCAAGCCATCTCCATTGACCCGCTAGAAGGAAACAGTCAGTCTGATGTCATGAACAGCAATCAAGGCCCCTCAATTGACCCGCTAGAAGGAAACAGCCAGTCTGATGTCATGAACAGCAATCAAGTCCCCTCAATTGACCCGCTAGAAGGAAACAGTCAGTCTGATGTCATGACCATCAATCAAGCTGGCTCAGCGTATCGACGGACGGGAAAGCTTAAATGTCACACCGGTGTAAACCAGGGAATAGCAGAAGTACTGCCTGACGAAACAGAAGTATCCGGTAAGTGGGATAGCTCTTACTGTAACTGTCATAGGGACTACATAAATAGGTCGACAGTTTTGGAACTGATAGGATTTCGTGTAATGCATATTTAGTAAAACAATTTCATATCTGTGGTTATTTGTTTAACTAATAAAGGCAGATACTTTTCTGATTTTACAAGTTATTGACATTTCGAATTTAAACAAACAAATCCTATTATTAATACACAGACTAGCATTAAAGAAGGGTTGCTTATTCGTATCATTTTAAGTTATCGCTATGATGCCGCAAATCAACGATACTTTGTAATTTTGAAATGTCATTGTTTTACGGCGAAATACTAAAAGGATACCAAAAACGAGGTTTGATGTAATTCAGCGGCTGTTGCTTGTCGCTTATTGGTGTTAAAATGAAAGTCTAGCGAAACAGGACAGAACATCGATTAAGACACAAATAAGTATCGTAAACTCGTAGACAAAGTACGTCACGACATTACATTATTTCAGAGTTCATAATTTAGCAACGACAAAGCAAAATTAAATTATAAAATTAAAAAATGTACTTAACGGTTAATCTGTTAACATATATATACACTTTATTTATTTCACAACAATAATGAAACAAGTTATATGACTTATATTAATCACTCTTGTTGGCCCGGATGTTAGCGCGCAGGGGGTCTTGATGTTGGAGAAAACCGGAGTACTCTGAGAAAACCCACGTGATCGGGCAGATGACCTCATACCTGTTCACGTCCGATCGGGGAATCGAACCCCGACCGCCTTGGTGAAAGGCGAGTGCGTTGTCCACTGCGCCACCCGACTACCCGTCTGTTAACAGACATGTACGTAATAATAAAACCTTTTATGCTGCAGGTATCAGGCAGGTGAATCAACAGATACAGGCACATTCACACGCAGAATATAATAAAACAACAATGATTGGAACCAACAATACCATCATATATGAGAAAGGTAAGTTGGAATTTGCCAAAAAACCCATTTGAAGTCTCTTAATCAAAAGTGTTTTTCATTTCAGTAATAATTACCATAACTTTAGTATGCATATACAATACCTACACCCATCTTTGTAGCCCCAAAGCAAAACATTCAAATATCCCTACCTCCCTACCGTGACGTAACCCATATCTCGACGACAGAGCCACGGAGTGATCTCCCGTCCTCTTCCTTTTATGGCGCCTGCTGCCTGCTGACGCCCGGAGCTTGCTCCATTTCAAAACTATGTTTTGTCGGTTTGGTTCGAGTGTCAACTCATTTTTTGCGCAGTTTGTGTGCCTTATACCCATCTGCCCTTATGAATATAATTAATTATTGTTGAAAATGATTTTTGTGCCTTTTACGGCTGGTTATTTTACTCCACGTGTGCCGGTGGTGTGCCACGGTCCGCCATTATCGTGGGTTAATTTCCGACCTCTGTTTATTTCGGTGACGGTTGTTTGTTTCGGCAAACGTTATTTATTTTAACCGTTTTCTGATTTATATTACGGGTGAAATTCTTTCTACGTTGCGTACTTTGTACTATATAATTTGCATTTTTATTATTTTTTCCCGTGTTATCTGCTTGTAAATTTTTGTTTACGTTCGCTTTTAGGGTATGTCTCGGTCGGGACAGCAACGAGGTAGAGCTCATGGGTGTTCCCATTTCTTTGTGGAACGGGACCCTCATGATGTTTGTCCCAGGTGTCGTCCTTGCAGTGAGGTTTCGCCTTGTGAACTTTGTTCACAGACTAAATCTCAGGACAAGGACTTAATTGTTCCAAAGCTACCAGTCAATGATCCCGGCATTCCAGGTGGTGCTGTCGTTGGGGACAGTCTTGGTCCCGGGCCTGCTCTTTCGGGTTCAGGTCCTGGTGTGACTACAGACTTTCTTTCGGGATTGTCTGTGTCTACCGGGATAAGTGACGCGCAGCTCACTAATCCCGGCACCAATGCTGGTCAGGCTTACCCTCCCGGTCAGTTACCCGGACCCGGTCCCGGTCCTGAATTTCAGTCTTCCGGGAACCTGGGGGGTGTCCCCCCAGGTGTTGGGTTTGCTGGACAGGGGGCCGGTTTCCGGCCTCCGTTTTCCCCTGGCTTAGGGTATACGGGTGCCTGTGGGCAACCATCCTTGGGCCGCCCTTACCAGCCTGTGGTTGGTTTTGGGTTGCGGCAGCATCCCGGCAGTTATGGGCTTAGCCCGTACATGTCCGGGTTTCCACCTGGAGGGAGTGGCGTTCCACCTTCGCCCTTTGGGCAAGTTAGCCAGCCCCAGTCTCAGGCAGGCCAGTTGGGCCAGTTCTGGGGTCACTCCCAGCCCGCGGTACCTTTCCCTTATCCTCCGGGATATGGGTTTAACCCCATGGCTTTTCCGTCGTGGAATCCTTGGGGTTAGGTCTCTCTCTTGAGGGCGCTGGTATGGCAGAGGACGATGATGTTGTTCATCTTTCACCTGGTTGCTCGGATATAGACGCTGGTCTTTCCGAGTCGTCTGATGACGGTCCTCAGGAGGGCTTGCCCTCAGAGGAGGAGTTCCAGGATGAGGGTGACTCTGAGGCTGCTGAGGTTGAGGCCCAGCATGTGTTGTCCGGTATGCGAGGCCTTAGGGCCGACGTTTCCCGGATTCTTGGGGAGGAGGTTTGCCCACCACCTTCGGCGTCATATGTCCCCGAGTCCACCACCCTTTTGGGTTCTTTAGTGGCTCCCCGGGGGTCCGCTCGGTCGGATCGCTCTCTGCCGGAAGGCACCATTGTGTCTTTAGCTCTGGTCACCGCCCAGTCTCGGGTTTTAGAGAAGAATTCTTCTCCAACCCGTAGTCCTGGGTATGCTGGGTTGCAGCTCAGTGTTGGCGATTTGTCAGAAGTGCACGCCACTGACTATGCCACACATGATGGCCTGCTTGCCCCTTAACCAGTTAAGCTGGAATCGAGGGAACTTGCAGCCTGGCCCGGTAAATCGGTGGAACAGGTGGTGTTCGGTCCCAAAGAACCCCACAAGATGGAGAGACTGCTGCGTCTCTCCATCCAGATTCTGTCTTATATAGACTACCTGACGGTTTGTCTATATAGGGTATCCGACTTGCCTGAGGGTCGGATTACCGAGACAGAGCAGGCCTACATCCAGGACAGAGTGACCTCTGCCCTGAACGGGGCATTGAGAGCGCTTGCAGCTTTACAGGTGTCATCGCTTCTCAATGTCTTGTTGGCTAGGCGGTTTTCAGTTTTGAAAAACCGCCCGGTCGATGAGTCTTACCGCTCCAGATTGTTGACTGCCCCCTTCTCAGGGTCCACTCTTTTTGGAGGGGCCCTTCCTTCTGTTCAGAAGGATTTGAAGGAGGACTCGGTCGCCTCTGCACTTCTGGTGAAGAGGATTCAGGCTGAGAAGGCCAGTACCTCGCAGGGGTCAGCGCCTCCTAAGAAGAAGGCTAAACCTTCGGCTTCGCAGTCCTCTGCGCAGCCCAAGTATAAGCCTCCCTTCAAGGGCAACAAATGGAAGGGTAAGAAGGGTAAGAATCCTCCTGGGGGTAAGAAGAAGGGTTCCTGACTCTCTTCTTCCTTCCTTGGTCGTGTTAGACGACGAGTTTGGCCGGGAGGACTGCAGTCCTCTCGGCTCAAGCTTAGGTCCTTCTCCCGCAGGATTAGGCTTCGGGTTAGCAGACGGTTCTCTTGCCTGGCAAGGTCTCGATCTGCCTCGACCAGATCTTCCTGTGGGGGGTCGTCTTTCTGCTTTCCTTCCAGAGTGGAAGGAAATTCAGAAGACGCATGGGCCTTGTCTGTGATCAAGGAGGGGTTAGGCATTCCGCTAGTGCGGGATCCGCCCTTAGCGTCGGAGCCAATCTTTTTTCCTCCACCGGGGGATCCGGAAAAGGCTCTGGCGCTCCAGGAGGAAGTAAGGACAATGCTTACCAACGGCGCGGTCGAGGAGGTTCCTATGTCGGCATGCACTCCCGGGTTCTACTCCAGAATGTTTCTGGTTAGGAAGAAGTCCGGGGCGTGGCGTCCCATCATAGACCTAAGTGCCTTCAACAAGCACGTAGATTCTCATCCCTTCAAGATGGAGACTCCTCGGGGGGTATTATCGCCTCCGTGAGAGAGGGAATGTGGGCGACTTCAGTAGATCTGAAGAACGGCTTCTTCCACATCCCCATCAAAAAGTCGGCACGGAAGTACCTCCGTTTTACTTGCAACGGAAAGGTCTTCCAGGACCGGGCCATGCCGTTCGGGCTCACGACTGCACCTTTGGTTTTCACCAAGCTGCTGCAGGTGGTCGTGGGATTCCTGCACTCTCGAGGAATAGATGTTCACATCTATTTCGACGACTCCCTCATGCTCCACCTAGTGAGAGAGTCTCTGGTGCAGGTCACCCGGTTGGTTCTGAAACTCTTACTCAAGGTCGGCTTCATTCCTTCCAGAGAAAAGTCGGAGGTTTCCCCATCTCAGGATTTTGTTTTTCTAGGGAACCGTTTCAATACGGTTCAGGGCATCGCCCTTCCACCGATGGAGAGGTTCGAGAAGGCCAGGGCCTTTGCTCTGACCTTCATCGGACGGTCTCAAGTCCAGGTACGTTGGTTTCTCAGTTTTCTGGGATATCTCAACGCCCGGCCGATGTGTTCCCTTTAGGGAGACTTCACATCAGGCCTCTCCAGATGTTTCCCCTTGCCAACTGGGTCCCTTCTTCAAGGGATTGGGAAGCCTTGCTTCCTCTGAACCAGTCGGTCAAGGAGTATGCACGCTGATGGACTCATCAGGACAATGTTCTCCGAGGGGTTCCTTTGTCCAAGCCGGTTCCCACTATGACCCTGTACACGGATGCATCCATGACAGGGGGGGGAGCTTATCTCGACGGGCGTTGCCAGTCGAGGGGATTGGTCTGGGGAACAGCTCTCGGAGCACAGCAATGTGCTCGAGATGAGGGCTGTTCTGTTGACTCTGCAATCTTTTCAGGACAACACTACGGTTGTCGCGTATCTGGAGAGACAGGGGGGAACCAGGTCTCACACCCTGTGTGCCCTCGCTATCCGCATTCTGCTTCTATGTCAGGAAATGCAGTTGACAATTTGTGTCAAGCATCTACCAGGCAGGTTGAATGTTCTGGCGGATACTCTTTCCAGGCG